TTAAATTTCACCTTAGATATTTATTGTGAGGCCGCCGTCCTAGTCAAGCATCGCTTATGATTGCGATCTCCTGCTCTTTCTTCACAGAAAGTTCGTTCAATTCCATAAATTCATAATAATATTTTATATAAATATTAAGTTTCGTTATAGTATACATGTATATAAATAACATTTGGGCATGAAGTTTATATTTTCTTTGTTATTCAGTTATTGTCTTTGGAAAATGCAGAAATAAATAAATTCAAAAAGTCTATTGCTAAGACCAGTCGACGTCGACACCTCTCAGGAGTCATCATGAGATTCCACTTAACCTCAGTCTGTAAGCATGGACATATGCAAGTAGTGTCGATAGCCTGTCACACCTAACTGCACAAAGGCTTTATCGCGAGAAGGACGGCTAAAACTATTAATGGTGTTCCAAAGAACTAAGTAAGTAGTCCTGTCTATGGTATCGAAACCGCTTTCACCATTTAACAAGTACAACCAGGACGACTACGAGTCATCAAGGTAATTCAACAGGACCTCGTTATTTAGTCATGGACGTCTGCGATATGTTTCAAAATCCTAAATGCAAGGCGGTTGCTTCTCGACGAGGACGGCTAAACTCTTCTTCTTCTTCTTCAAAATAATCTGCCTCCTTCAATGCTGAATATTCTTGCAGATGTGTGCGAGTGCATGTGTGTGGCGACATGGGGATGTCCAGGTGTGCAGGTGAGAGGTGTATATATACATAGTGCCAGTAAAAAAAAATTGCCGGAATTTACTTTCCCCCCCCCCCCCCCCAGTCTTTAGTTGTCTCTGGAAGGCTTCCACTGATGGAGCCAGGACAACCTCAAAAGGGAGAGCGTTCCACTGTCGAACAGTGCGAGGAAAGAAGGAGTGAATATGTTGCTCTGTTCGTGACTGCATGACACGATAACAGTAAGGACGAGACGATCTTGTAGTTCTTACGACTGTTGCCAGTTGGATGTAGTGGCGGATGTCAAAGTCAACCAAAGAGTAGTGTATCTTGTACAGTAAGGTGAGACGTTGATGCTCTCTTCTCTTCTGGAGGGAGGTCCATCCAAGTTGACGCAGCATGTCAGAAACGCTAGATGTATGATGATAGCGGTTGAGAACATATCTCGCTGCTCGTCTCTGGACCATCTCCGACTGGTTTACACATCTGATTGTGTGTGGATCCCAGACAGTACTCCCATACTCAAGAAGAGGGCGAACGAGAGCCTGGTATGCAGTAGTCTTAAGCCGTTGATGACGTATGACCATCCAGAACAACTTGCTGCTTACGGTTGGAGAGAAAACTGGATATCCAGTCAATGTTGTGGCCTCTCACACCATAGTATTCCATCTTCTTCAGAAGCCTCTGGTGACCAACCTTGTCGAAGGCTTTACTGAAGTCTGTGATTACTATGTCCGTCTGATTGTTGTCCTCCATGTTGTTCAAGAGGTCGGTGACAAAGCCAGTCAGTTGGAGTTCACACGACTTCATGACCCATGATGTTACTTGCAAATATGTGCTCCATCATTTTGCAGATGATACTTGTGAGAGAGATTGGGCGATAATTCTCAGGATCTGTTTTATCTCCCTTCTTGTAGATGGGGACCACGTTCGCAAGGCGCCAATCATCTGGAACTTCACTGGTCCTGTATGAGACTTCAAAGATGGCACGCAGAGATGGAGCTACCACTCTTGAAAGCTTGTAGAGTACCAATGCTGGTATTCCATCTGGTCCCGGGGCTTTCCGGACTTACAACTTCTTTAACATCTTAACAATGCCTTCGGTTGAGAGGTGGATGTCTGGCATGGAGTCATACGGAGATGTTTCAGGAAGGAGATCAGCGGGAACATCAGTTTCATTGGTGAAAGCCATCTTGAATTGTTTGTTCAGTGCTTCAGCCTTGTCCTGGGGGCTAGTGATAGTATGCTCATCAGTTTTCAGAGTATGTATCCCACAGCGGTCAGTACGATTGTTCTTCACAAACTTCCAGAACCTCTTCATTCCCTCGTACTCATTGGGTCCATCAGCAGTGAAGATTGACTCCAGATGGCTCCAATATGCCTTTCTTGATTCTGCTTGGATGAGGTGTTTCAAATGCTGCAATTCTGTCTCAAGCGGGAAAGGGACCAGCATGTTCTGTTTCCTGAGCTTGCTTATGTAACCTATCTCTCTTATAGATTTCAATTTTTTCAATTTCATTTATTTCCACAGATTCATAAAAGACAGTGTAAATTACAATCAAATATAAAAGCATTACAACAAAAGATGAACCTGCAGAGGGGGTGATAAAAAACCACAGAGGTTTATTGGGGATCATCCCCTGCTTAAAATTACAATATAAAAATACAATAGTTTTTTTTTAATTAAACAATAACACATACATGTACAAAAACATATATAGATATTACATGCACATCTATGCGTGGGGTGAGTAGTAGTGGGTTGGTGGTACCAAGAAATACAATATAAAGAGGAAATGAATGATATACAGGAAAGGAATATTGAGAACAATAGAAAGAAACATTGAGAACAATAGAAAGAAACACCGTACAAACTATATCTTAAGAGTTGGATACGAGATCAAATATTGTTTCAACTTTGACTTGAAAGAATAAAGTGATGAGCAGCTGACAATATCATTGGGAAGTAAATTCCATAGTGATGGTCCACTAAAATAAATGTTCCTTTGAATAAAAGTTGTTTTAACAGAGGGCAAATGAAATTTATTTGAACTTCTCGTTTCATAAGAGTGAATTTCAGCATTAACAATGAACATCTCATTAAAAATACATGGTAGCTGATTTTTCTTGAAAAGAAACATAAATTGAGCAAGTTGCATATAATATAGAGATTTCACATTCAAAATATTCAGGCGTTTATACAAGGGTGCAGTATGTGCAAGATAAGTAGAGTTTGTTATTGCACGAACAGCCTTTTTCTGTAAAATCTGCAAACGGTTCGTTAAGGTAATTAAACATCCACCCCAAGCTAAGACAGCATATGAAAAATGTATTGTATAAATTCATTAATATTTTTTTGGGGAGCAGTTTATTCACACTATAAATAACTTCCAGTACACTGGCAATTTTTGAAGATATGTAACTGACATGACTTTTCCAAGTAAGGTACTCATCTATGTAAACTCCTAAAAATTTATTTGAATTAACTCTGGTGAGTAACACATTATCAAATTTTACATTCAATTCATTAAAATCACCTCCAACCTTTCTTCTCCTGAATACAATATAATTAGTTTTTTTCATATTAACAACAAGTTTATTAGCAGTGAACCATTTGCAAACTTTACTCAGTTCTTGGTTTAAAACCTCATTTAAATTTTGCACAATTTTACCTGATAATAATATATTGGTGTCATCAGCAAATAAAACAAAATTAAGCTTGTCAGATACAAAGTGAAGATCATTTATAAACAACAAAAACAATAAAGGAGCAAGAACACTGCCTTGGGGTACTCCTGTTGAAAGGATCTTGAAAGGATCTGTGATTGAGAACAAACATTATTAAATTTAACAAACTGTTTCCTATTCAAAAGGTAATTTTTGAACCATTTGAGAGGAGTTCCCCGTATGCCATAAAATGATAGCTTTTGTAACAAAATAGAATGGTTAATACAGTCGAACGCTTTAGATAAATCAAGGAATATACCAACTGGAATTAGCTTATTTTCCAATGCCTGAGTAACAAGATTTAAAAATTCAATTAGAGCCATGGATGTTGAGTGTTTTTCACAAAATCCAAATTGTTTACCATATAAAATATCATTCTTATTCAAGTAGTTACTGAGACGTTTGTAGACCAATTTTTCTGATTTTTTTTAAAAGATTGGCAAGATAGAAATAGGTCGATAATTTTCTATTTTTTCTTTACAAAGATTCTTATGAAGGGGTATTACTTTTGCTAACTTTAATTGATCTGGAAGTTGTCCTGAAATAAAAGACTCATTAAAATATGACAAAGGTGTTTGGCATAAACATGTATAGTTTTCTCTAACAATCTCTGGTTCAATATCATCATGTCCGGCACTTTTATTTGCTTTAAAACTACGAACAATCTCGACAATTTCTCCCTCAGTAATAGGTTTTAAGAAAAAAAGAATTGGAATAATTACCTTGTAAAAAACAATTAAAGTCATTTATGGAAGAGCATTGATTGCCTAGTGAGGCTCCAATAGAAACATAATAGTCATTGAACAACTCTGTAATTCTTATATTGTCATAAATTTTGTCACCTTCATTTAAAATAAATTCAGGACGGACACCCAGGGGTTTCCTCCTTATTATTTCATTAATGTACTTCCAAGGCTTTTGCATATTGCCTGTCACGGACTGAAACTTATTTAAATAATATTCTTTTTTCACATATCTTATATCTTTATTCAGCTTATTCCGACATGTTTTAAAATTACGTTCTCTCTCTAGTGATGGTTTGGAAAGATATTTTTATACAATCTATTCTTCTTTTTACACCGTTTTTTAATTTCGTTAGTAATCCATAGTTTAACACTTTTCCTTTCCTTAATTGTAATCTTTTTAAGTGGAAAACAGGAATCATATATGTTTTTAAAAGCATTCATGAATATATTATACTTCATATCAACATCAGATGTATTATACATATTTTGAAAATTCAAGTTACTGAAATTTCTATTAAATAATTGAAAACCAGAGTCAGTTATATTGCGTTTATAAAATACTCTTTCGGAATTCACTGGTTTATTCCAAGAGAGAGTGGCAAATATAGGTAAATGGTCTGTTATATCAGTCAATAGAATACCAATTTTTAAAAATGTTCATGTACTGTATTTGAAAAAATATTATCTATAAGAGTTGCACTTTCCCTAGTAATTCTAGTCGGATTATAAATAATTGGGAAAAAACAATGAGATGCCATTAGTTCGGTAAAGTCATTTACATAAAGGCACACATCCATTTTCATTAAATCAATATTGTAATCGCCCATAAGATAAAAGTCTTTATTTTCTTTTTGGAGGTTGGATAACACTGTATAGATATCATTGATGAACATTCCAACCGATTGATTAGGCGGTCTATACATAGCTCCGATTAAAATATTTTTGTCACTCTCTCTTGGAATTTCAATAAAGATCATCTCATATTGTTTGTTTACCACAGTAAGATCAGAACGATGAAAATATTTTTAATTATTGTGTATCAGAATTCCTACACCTCCTCCACGACCTTCAACTCTGCCACAGTTTACATAAGAATAATTTGGAGGAACAAATAATGAAAAATTTTCATCCTGATTTATCCAAGTTTCAGTTAGACCTATCACGTCAAATGTGACTGACAGAGAAGTTATGTAATCAAATATATTTTCATAATTCTTCCTTAGGCTACGACAGTTAAAATGTATAAATGATAATGAAGTCTTTGAGTCAACTTCATTCATAAACTCATTGAATTGATCTTCTAGAAGGTATGGTGTACTATCCTCTTTGCAGAAATCAGATAAAGGCATTAGAAAAAGTACCACCCACTATACACGTATATTACAGCTATATAAATAATGGTTAAAAAATGTACCAACCACAAGAATAGGTTATGGCACACAAGATTGATACATGTACCATCACAACAACAATAATAAACAACACCCCACAGTATCTTCAACAGCGAAGAGGAAGAACAACAACAAAAATTACAAAAAATTACAAAAATTACAAAAAATTACAAAAATTACACACAACCAAGGAATTATAAAAAGGTCTTTATAAAAAAGATTAAAATATTTTACTTAAGTTAATAAAAAGTAAAGTCTCATTGACAAAGACTAGGATACATTAGATTAATACAACTATGTACACAATAACAAATATAAATCAGTATGAAAAATACAGCAAGTGAAATGTCACTGTCAGGAATCTTGACACTATCATAAACAGTGAAAAAAATAAACATATTACCGGCAAGTGAGGAAAGAGAACTACCACAGAAGTTTCGGGAGAGTGTTTAGAAAGATGAGTTTACGGATACCGCTAGTACCGCTAGTAATCCATGGCAAGTCTTGTTTCTGTTTGAGCATCTTGTGGGGGACGAATGTTTGAATACCCCCTTCAATTCCACTCTTGAAGAGTTGCCACAGGTCATGGACTGATGCACTGGATGACTTGCTACATATGTAGTCTGCCACATGTTGCATGAGTACTGCAAAGCCCTCCCAGTCTGCTTTCTTGTACAAAAGAACTTTCCTCTTTGGCTGGTATCTTCGTGGGGGTGACATGTCTATATCAGCAACTGGACAGTTGTGATCCGAGATACCAGGCACTACCTTCACAGAGTTAACCAAGGTTGGATTGCTGATAAGTATCAAGTCAATAGTGTTCGCTTGTCGAGTAGGCTCTTTGACAAGTTGGGTAAGACCGTGATCTTACCCAACTTATTATGGTATTCCACAAGAATAACCACAAGAATAACCTTAATCTACAAGTCTTGACGAATATTTAAGTCCAAAGTGTTGCCCTCTCAACAGGAACGGCTATGACTGATAATAATACCCCGCAGGACCTCAGTCTTTGAACTTAGACTTCCGGTTGTCGTGTCAAAATCGTGTGACGTATCTGAAAGAAGAAGAAAAGTCGGTGTTATTGCATTAAGTAATGAAATAGACATCATTTTTAAAGGACCAGAATGAATCACACAATGCCACATTACATGAAGACATGTCAAGGATACTTCATGGTTATTTGTTCCCTTTGTTGTTATCATTTCATCACATGTTTATCAATATCTTCTCATGCTGTCCCCTCGTTATGTACTTGCTTGTTCTTAACAGGTGTTGATTTTTGTCTATGTATCATCATGGTATAGTACACATGCATATCCAAAGGAAATAACGCTTTATCGCTATGCAAGGGTAACAGTGTACATGTGTAACCATGTGGAGGACATGATATGCTCAAAGTTTCCAGAAGCTTACACAGATCTTTGTAGCGAATCTAAAGGTAGGTGGTTTCCTCGCTCAATGTGTTCTCTCGGTGTTTTTGGCGAATACCGCCCTGCATCTTCGTTGGCATCTAATCTTTTCATTTGCCGCATCTGGTCTGTCATCACCATTCGTTTGTGGTAGGGGTAATGCAGATGTTGTCCTCCGTATCTGGGGGATGGTGCTTTTGAACTGTTAAGTCTGTTGCTCGTTTCAGGCGAAGAAGAGGTTGCAACGTCATGCGAAAATGTCTGACCCTCTGAGTTGGAAGTCGGACCTTTGCTTCTGGATGTCCTGGGACTTGCACCATTCTCACCACTGGTCCTTGTGTAGTTGAGATACAAGGGATGGTTTCGTTGCTCGACTTTCTCCGATTCGTCAAACAAGTGGCCTCCGTTACGTTTCAGATACGGGTATTCTCTCTAAGTAAGAAAGCAAAGTTTGAGGAAAAATATGACTTGACCGAAGTGTACCGTGTGTAAATAAATTTGAAAATGTCATCGTCTAAATCTTGTGTACGAAGCTACTGGATTACCACAACATTAGATTGATACATTTGGTATTTGTCGTAAACTCTAGTACATAGACTTGTGATACATGTTCAGACGGCGATATCTATTGAATCCTTTAATAATGTAAATCGTATTCATAGGAAATGAGTCAAATCACATAACTTTTTTTTCAATTTTAACTAAACTTCTGTGAAGTACGGCCAATTCATATTGATTGGTCATTCTAGATCTGGTTATTACACTGTTATAAATATCAATGTCAAATAAATTTGTAAACAGTCAAACACTGTCTATAAAAAGCCACTGAAGTGACTAGACAGGTCCTACAACGCATATTTCTTTCTTAAGGGAGACAAATTGCATGGCCACTGTAGACCAGCAGCCTTTGTAGAAAAATAGCCACCAAGACATGTTAGACCGAACTTGTGTATGAAAATGGTTAATATTTACATTGTGAGATTCGGCAATGGTCGAGTTGTAAACGCTTTTCTCCTCGTATGTCTGCCTCCATTTGGTTCTAACGTAGGACCGTTTGCATACTATAGGTAAACACAGCATCATGAGCCCGAATACAATCCCAAAGACTATCCCGACAGCAATGTACACATAGTTTCTAGGTAAAGCAGCACCTGTAACAGAGAAAAAAAACGCAGTACAGTGTATTGCTTCCCCGTTTAGGGGAGTTGGCTCGATCGGTAAAGCGTGTGCCTGTTGAACGAAAGATCGTGGGTTCGAATCCACGTACCCTTCCCCTGTTTCATATACACAGGCTAAGAGCTGATATATCAGTCAGTTCATACCAATAATGAGAGGTGTGATACAAGGTTGTGTGTTGTCACCAGGGCCCTGTATTACAAAGAGTTGATATCAATCGCAACTATGTACATAAGAGATATGAGATTGCAAACTTGCGATTGATTGGAGGACTTACGATTGAATTTGATCAATCGCAACTCTTTGTAAGACGGGGCCCAGATCTCTTTAACATTAACAGTGAAAGATTATGAGATCGATCAAGGATCACAATGGTGTTAAGGTTGGAGGTCAAAATATAAACAACCTTCGCTATGCAGACGATACAGTTTTAGCAGCAGAATCCAAAGAAAATCTGCAGGTAATCTATATAAGTAATACGCTAAGGCTCCGCGGGGGGCGCGACGTCTCGGCGAGCCTTTGTATTCTATTGTTTTTTAATGAGAGCGCCGACCGAAGTTGGTGCGGCTATCTCCTCCTGAACCCTGCCCTCGGGGTACCCGTGCCCGGTGCCATCGTCCGCGGGAGAGTCTACTCTGTGGAATTGGCTATACTCCGCCCGAGGTCCTCCTCCGTGTCGACGTCCAGGGCGAAAACAGACGCGACATGCATAATGCAGGATATGCGTGACGACAGAGATACCTCATGGATATTCAACATTGCATCCGTAGACACACGACCGATGACCATCCACTCACATTAAGTTGCGTATTAAATGCACCATGCACAGGGTCGGGATTACCCGAGTAAAGCATCTTTCTATAGGATATCCTTTGTAGTAGCGCTGCACAAGCCACGGGGCTTCCCGTCGACGTCCAAACTTAGAGACCTATTTCCATCATGATTGCCGCGATTTGTATATAGTTTTCGTGAATGGAGGTATGAAATCAAAGCTTATTTTGTGATTATTACGGCCATGCTTACTGAATTTTGATTGTCATTTTCTAAAGGAAAGTTTTCACCAGAAAACCATTGGACTGACATTTCAGTCGCAAGCTGCCTTCAGACAACACAGAGTGCAGTGCTGCTGTGACGTGTGTGTGAGTTGCGATGAGCTTGCAGGAAGCTCCGACACCGGCACCGCGCACCGTAGGCGTCCGACGCCTGCGGCGGCTGTGTTGAGCTTCCTAGAGTTACGCTGCAGTGAGTCGAAGAGATTTGACACTTTGAAATTGTTATCTGTTGGTTTGCATCATTATTGCCGCGATTTCAATATAGTTTCGTGAATAGATTTAAGAAACCTGAGCTTAGAATTAGTAAAAGTATTACTAATGTCTACGTTTTTAAACGACTGTCTGATTTTCTTGTGAAAATTTTACTTTGAAAAATGATGATCGAAATTCATGGTCAGAAATAATCACAATCTAGGGTCTATTATGTTACAGTTCTTGCATCAAATCAATGCATGAAAACTTAGTTATTGAACTAGAATTTTTTTTTTTTTAAATAGGCAATTATGAAGTAGGAAGCCTGAAACCTTAGCATACTAAACAAATCTCAACAAAGTGTAGGCCTATCCTTTTATGAATTAATGAAAAATTAGCCCCAGAAAAAAGAGCCCCCAAAAGTTGAAAAAGTAGCCCCAAAAATTTTCCCCAAAATTTGAAATGGAGCCCCTGAAATGAAAAACTTAATTTTTTGCCTGCGCCCCCCTCTAGAATCCCGCGGATTTCCGCGGGTCCTGAGTTGAGTGTATATATATAATATAGGCATGGGGTCCACGGGTTTCAAGGGGCCATAAACCCCCAAAAGCTCGGGGGTTACATTCTTCAAAGTTGGGGGGGGGGGAGAGATCAGATCGCAGCGAGTTGAGTGTATATATAATATAGGCGTGGGGTCCACGGGTTTCAAGGGGCCATAAAACCCCCGAAAGCTCGGGGGTTTTAGGCGTTTAATTAGGGTCAGATGTGCATATTTTAAATACCTTATTTGTGACACTTGCGGGTCACTAATTGGCGTGGGGTCAATACGTAGTGTTGCGTACCAACTACGCTGGCCTACGTTACTATATGCTGAGGGACGGAAAGGGGTACACAAGGTGAACAAAAACAATTCAACATGTTTAATTTTGTTCGCGTACTTTCGGCGTAGAAACTTGACGCAGAAAGTACGCCTTTTTACGCAACAGTACGCTACATGACTACGCAACAGTACGCTACCCTACGCCAGATTGACAAAGCAGTAAAAGCTTTCCACACAGTAAGCAACCATAAGCAAACCTGTACGCCAGCCTACGCATAACCTACGCAGGGACTATTTCCCCATTAATACGCAGCCTAACTTCTGCGTAGTCGGTACGCCACACTACGGAACTCTACGCAGTTCCAGTGGCTTAAAGAATAACTACCGGTACAGTTGGATTGTTTTTTTAAATTTAATATAAGGCCAAATTAAAAAAAAAACATGCTTATAGCGTCCTGTTTTTTCGAAAAATGGTAAGGAGGAGGCGCTTTTTTTTCTTTTTTTTTTCTTTCAAAATGGCCGCTCCGTACATTTTCCCTGGCATTCGGGCTATTTTTCAAGATGGCGGCCGACAATTTTTTTTTTTTTTTTTTTTTAATCAGAAATACATTTTAGCAGTGCTTTTCATGTTTTTTTTCTTTCAAAAAAAAAATTTAAAAAAAAAATTAAAAAAAATAGGAGGCGGCCCCCAAAAAGGAAGCGGGTGGGGACGCTAAACATGTATATTTTTTAATGGCCTGAATAGCAAATAAAGTTCTTGGTTGTTTTAATTGAGACAGTCTCTATATATCTATTTACACCCCCCGCCCCCTCTATAATCCCGCGGATTTCCGCGGGTCCTGCTAGTTTTAAAGTAATGTGGTAACAAAAAGTATGAATAAATGCTTGGATTTAAACAACGAGAAAAAGAGTGTATGATAATATCGAAAAAAGACCGAAAAACCCCCATGAAAAAAAAGTAAAGGGGAAACAATGAAGTAAACTTACAATCTCTAATTTATTTCTGTAGCCTCTGTCCTTTTGTAAGCTCTTAATTTTCAAACACTTACACCCGTAGACAAAAACGAACCAGATTTATGACTTTAAGACAAGGATTTTGGTTTTCATGAAATCTTTTTTATTTTTCATTACGGATTCATTCTTATAAACCATCAGATGTTAAAATTATTCATGAAATAAAGAAAATAAATGGAATGGCAAAGGATACATTTAATTAGATGGAATCGCTATGAAAAATAAGTACCTTATTATGGAAACTAAAATCCGTAGACCATGGGCAAATAAATAACGAATGTGTCAAGATACTTGTTTTAACGTATTTGCATTGGTATTTAATGAAACAAGAATAAGTGTGCAAAAACGTGACTTACCGGGATTAGCAGCTTCAGAATAATCTTAATGGATTCAAAAGAGAAAGAGAGAGAACTTGTAAACTTAGAGCTGTTAAATATAAATAGAAGTCACTGAAAACTTCATGAACTTGATATAACATCAAAACATCAAAACCTCCCTCTGTTCCAACGTGTACGGCACGGTAAGGGTTTATGAAGATTCGTACAATTTCTTAAAGGTTTGAACTGTTTCAATATATCTTGCTCTTGAAAAATATCAAATCACTACTAAGCAGATTACTGAGCTATTTCTCAGATGGTTTTGGGCATACATTATGCTGGTTCTTTGAATATTCTTAGCAAATTAAACGCTTAAAAATTCTATCCAGCCACCAGCATATTGGTCAATCATTCAACATGAATGAATAGATATAAATCATGAATTCATTAAAAAAAAACGATTGCAACTACTTTCCAGAAATAAACTCATGGATAACTTCAATACCCTATTGCATTATTCACAGCAAACATTCGGATTGTGTAACGGATCATCATTATTATTGTAATGTAAGCACCTATCAAATGATGATAGACAAGGCTGTTGACATTTCTTTCAGTTTATATTTCGAAAGTCTTTGCGGGTCGTGTTATATTGTTTACTAACTTGGAAAACAGAAACGGCCCGGAAGTACATTGGGGAAGAGGTCACGATAGCCCGAGAAACATTCACATGTAAATCCACCTGCCATGTTGTGGTCCATGCAATTTGCGTTTGACGAACAATCATTTAGCTCGGGATCCGAACATTCGTCCATTACCACAACTGCAAATAATGTGATATAAATCAAGGTGATGATGATATTAATAATAATAATAATAACAATCAAAAATAAATAATGATAATAATAAGATTGATAACAATAGCAATACGTCAAACCGTATTAGCCCTTAACAATTCGACAGACTGGCCCAGATACCTGGAACTCTTTCCCTATTGAGATTCGAAATCTAAGTCGACAAACTCTTTTCAAAAAGCTGTTAAACGTATGCTATTAAGTTTGAATGAACATCTCTTGCTTCACTCTTCATCTTGTATTCATGATTGGAATTTCGTTAAACTGCTATCAGCCATGGCCTGGAATCATTAACCTTATTATCATACTGAAAGATGTTATTGTATTTAGAAACCAGGGTTCTATCCCTATTCCTATCTTTCATAATAGCCAACGTATGAAGCACCGTGTGCAGCGCTTTATAAGTACACGGAAGAGCGCTTTATCAAATAACTTTCGTTTTGGATAGGATTGCATCCTCCGCTAAAAGACCCGAATGTGTTAAATAAATCAATCATCAATATACATTATGAAAAGAAAATCGATCAGACCTTGTAACAGGGTTGCATTAGAATCCGCCAAGAAGGTGGTACTCCCTGAAGAATCGAATATCCCTCCATTACTTTCCAAGTGCTGCCGTATAAATACGCTCAGCTCATTGGCAAGTTCTTCCGGGTTAGAATCCGTCGCGACGAGGAGCTCGTATGTGAATATCAAGCTGCCATTCCTAATACTGGTTATTGTGACGTCATCAGGGATGACGTTAGCCATAGAAAAGGTAGACATTATCTAGGAATAGTATAAAAGAAAATTAAAAATGGATGTCAGGTAAGAGTTTTCAGTGGAATTTCAGGGCCAGATCAAGGGGCGCGCGTGGGAAGCGCACGCCCCCTTCCCCCTTTTTTCTTTTTGAAAAAAGCAGGAAAAAAACTAAATGCATAAATACTCAGTTTACGCATTCAGAACAGCCTCAGAATGTACCATATAGCACATTAGGATTCAAAATTGTTTGGACCCCACGCAGTAAAGGCTACGCGCTTCGCGCTAGCAATTCCATACATTTACCCCCCCCCCCCCCCCCCCCTCTTTTGGAAAATCCTGGATCCGCCACTGATTTTGTTTGAATTTATTTTAGCTCACTGCTTAGAAAACTTGTGCATGCATGTAAGTAAGCAACCAGGGGACAAACGGCTTTACACCATATCCGAGGGATTTGGTACTGTCTAACCATGGACCTACATGGTCTAACCATCGACGTGGTTTCTAACCCAGACCTCCCAGTTACGAGACTACTTTTCAACCCCTGATTTCTCCCACTTGCTATAATGTGTTTTTTTTTATCTATAACATTTCATCTAATTGTTATTTTAACTGTCAAACGCGCGTCTGAAAAAATTTGTAAAAGGCTCGGTTAATATCAAACATAATACTGTATAATTTTTCCCATTCTGTATACATTTCCATGACTTGGTATTACCTGTTCTACTAATGGTGCAGCAATTTCCTGGAACTCTGAGCTACTCGTGTTTCCCAGTGCATCTGAATAAACGGCCTCGGAACCGTTGAAATTTAATACTCTAATCGTTCCTTCCATAATTACAGCATCTGATTGAGAAATAGGTACAGCAAGAAAATTAGCGAATATAGACCAAATATGGAAAGCTATTTCCCCCCCCCCCCTTTTTTTCCCCTCTTTCTCTCCATCTCTCTCTCTCTCTCTCTCTCTCTTGCTCTCTCACTCCCTCTGTGTCTCCCTTCTGTAATCACTATGCCATAGATGATATGAAATCTATCAGTATGTGCACAATTTGGGGCTACTATATTACATTTTTTCAAGAAAAACAGATATGGTATTATAGATGTAGTTCTGTTTTAGAGAGACACAGAGATGTAGCCACTAACGTGGCTATTGGCGTAGCTATGGGGCGCAGATCCCACCCAACCCCCAAACATTTCCCATATCCCCCCCCCCCTAACTAGTGACATCTACCGATTAAGACGGGTGCCCCTTAATGTGTGGATCCAAGCCATGCCATGTATAGACTTGGCTATAAAAGCAAATGTATTCTAATTATCAAGTTGGGTGGTTTAAGAGAGATTAAATATATTACAAAAATCATATTTATCGTCCGTATCTTTAATTTAATGTAGAGGGGAGGAGACTCCGGAAATATTAACATTATTAGGAAGGGTAGATTTGATCGCAATGATACGTTTAATTTTTTCATCAAGTTCATCCAAGATTTTTATATTTTTATGTGATATTAGGAAATTTGTACTTTCGCTTTTATTATTATACACTTGTTAAGCACTTTAGCCCATCAAAGAACGTTTATTTTTCATGCAAAATTTGATTGTGACAAATTCACTTTTACGTTTTCCATAGTCTTTAGGTGGAATGGTGTCAAAAAGTCAAGTCTCTTATGGAATTTATTGCAACTCATTATGGCAGCTTCCGAATCGTTTGAAGTTCAATATGGACGCTTTTTAATCGCAATCTTACTGCCACTTGCCTGCGTCCCCCCCCCCCCCCCCCCCCGCCATCATTTTTCATAATATCGTACCTACCAAGGCACTGATTAGTGTCGGTATCTCTAGCCTTTCCTGGGGCGCAGTTACAGGTGGATATTCCGCTTTCGGTTTCGATAGTACATTTTTCAGTAGTAGCACAGCTACCTCCACATGGATCTAAAAATAACAAAATATGAATTGTATATCAACCGAGGGCTCTTCAATTTTAATTATAAGTTTAACAACCCCGCCCCATAACAATTACGCATTCATTATTCATTTAATCACCGACTGGACATTCAATGATACACAGTTGGAAGTATTCTTCTCAAGAGGGCAAACAAGAGGTATTCAGGAAGCACCTCCATCACTTTGGCTGTGATTATTCTCAAATGCTCAAAGTTAGACTCCTCCATGTTTACAAGATCTGTGGATATTTGGGGTCACTTTTACCTTGTGTTTTACTATGAACTGGTCAATTGAGGTGAATTAAGATCCGCTTTTAACATAAAACGTACCCGAGCAGATCCCTTGTGTTGTACGAGTACCCATGACACAGAGGCACGTCACATTAGCTCCGCAATACTCGCCCTCGCCACAGACCTGGGAACCACACGTCTCTATGAAAGGAAAGTACTGTGGATGCAGCTATTACATTTTCATCATCAGATTACTTATATCAAACATACTAGAGGATAACGATATTTCCATTCTTAATCCTACTACTACTGTGTGGGCTATTGTGAAAGAACCCATGCATTGTTTGAAAGATTTGGTAACCCAGAACTAAAACTCTTTTTTCAGGTATAATTTGCGGTAACTTTTTTCACCGAGTGCATTCACAAATACACAGATAGAATTTCAAGCAAATTAATTCTTAAATTATTTGTTTCCCATGTAACCGGATGTTGTTCATCATCATCATCTCTAGGGCAATTATTTTTCATTAGCTTTTGATAATTCCCTTATCAAAATATCATGGGTTTGGCCTCTCATTGATGTTCTTCCTTGAAATCTTGCCAATGTGAGATTATCAACATCTCAAGGTAAAAATCAAAGCCTTAATTAACAAAATCATTGTTACCTAGGCACTGAGAAACATCACCTTCTTGTTGCCCAGAGCTGGTATATATAAAATATAATTGAGGGCCCAACATTGCTGTTCTTGTTAGAGATTTTGCCAAATGAGCTAGATTATCAACACCTCTTAAATCACAAACATCCATTCCAAACTGATTTTTACCTCGGCACTGAGGAACACCAGCCTCCAGTTGCCCTGAACTGGTACAGCTGATAATTGCCGGTTGGGTCACCTCGCCGCTTTCACACTCAAACTGGCACAGTGTATCCACAGCCACGCGACCTCCCGAAGGACACTGTGATGATGAGAGCATACTCGAATAGACTGGAATGCTGCACATCACTTCTGTCGTGGTGAGATGGTAAGTTGAAATTCGCAAAATGTTATTCGAACTCTTTTTTTAACACAGGATGGGTATGTAACATTTAAAAGCATTTAACCTTTATTATCGTAAATGTTTCGATGGGGGAAAGGAAAGCAACCTTTCGGTTCAGTGATGATCCTGTCTTTGTGTAAGATTATTAGGATTGTAAGGTGTGTATGATACACCCCAAGAAATACCTATACTTATTATATGGGGTGAGATTTTCTTCAATGTCGTAGCAATAAAACTCCCATTTTACATTTTTGTTCATACAGGCGACTTTTATTCAAATTTACACAACGAGCAAAGCTCTATCCGTTGATTTAATAGGTTTTATGTATGCTACTTCTGCTACTGCAATATGTTACTCAATCATTAAAATGTGATAACCATGCTTAATAGCCAGAACGATGATATTTTCAATCGTTACTTATGTAACTTTCAAATTTATGTCGGATATATTCTACCTCCACAAGTAAGGTCCCTGCCAGAAAAAGTTCCATCAGCGCGGCAAAAGCGTGCTGTATTCCCACTTTCCGGTACCCCAGAAGTACATGAGAATTCACAGGAAGTGCTGTATGTGACTCTTGACCCCTCTCTACAGGTTGTATTTACCGAAACGGCAGTCGTTGGAACCTCGCACATCACACCTACAAAAGTGATCATAGTGTTTTAAGAAATCGTGTACCTTCCACTCCAAAATTTGTTGGTGATCAATACTTAATCACTTTACAAAACAATTGGCAAACATGATAAGAAGATGTCTTCATGAGATTTATTCCAGTTACAAGTTCAAATACCCCTTCGTTGGTTCTTTGTAAGATCTAAATAGCACAGAAGTGTTTTTTTCAGAAACTGTCCTACTGTTTCATCAGGCATTATATAATGTTATAACATTTTGTTTGATTGTTGATCCATATATTTCAGTCTTTAATATATAAATCCGAACCCCTAGTGGCAAATACAAAATACGAATACAAATTTTCACATAGCAAAATCAACCAAACATACTTGTACAATTTGGCAAATCGGTGGATAAAGCTCCATTTTCTGTGCAAGACAACGAGGTGGATCCAAATAGATTATACCCAGTATCACAGGCGAAAGAACAAGTGGTGCTGTAGTCTGTGGCGGATCCCGCAGCACAGTGGTCTTCAACTGAACGAAGATGTGACGGGAAGTCGGTAGGTAGGGAACATGTAACAACTGCGATAAGGCAAAGATATACACAAATCATGTTTAAATACACATATAAATGAATAGGTGTACAATAATAAATATACATATACAAAGATGTATGAAGATATATATACATGAATCCAAACATCATTTGAAACTCTAATGAAAACTGCATATGTTGTGAATAGATATTGTGTGAACGGAGAAATATTCCAACTAGACTCAAAAGACTAGACTAAATGAATTCAATGCATCGTGTTAACAGGGTCTTTGGTAACTCTTGGGGAAATATAAACAATGCAAGAATAAAAGAGACAATAGTATTTGCGCAGCCATATTAAAGTACCCCGCTGCTATCCTCTATTTTTGGAAATTGTTGCAAAGGTTGAACAAATTTCTCAACCGGGACTCAAACCCGGGTCTGTGGCTTAGAACGCTGATGCCTCAGCAAATACATCCTTTAGATGTGTCAGTAGCTCTGGCAATACTAGATTTAATTATCACTTATAATCAACTTGCAGAAGAAAGCTATTTGATTTGAACACCGCAACTCTTTTGTTTTGTGCATCCGTTCATCAAAACTTTTAGCGAAATTGTAATTACCTGTGCAATTTGGAAGGTCCGTCGACAACGCTCCATTTTCTGTACAAGATATCGACGTAGAATCTGAAGTGTTGTATCCAATATCACAGGCAAACGAACATGTCGAATCATATTCTATTGTAGATCCAGATGTACAGTCATTGTTCAGTGAACTGAGATGTGACGGCAAGGCATCAGGAATGGAACACGTTACAACTATGAAACAAGAATTTAAAAATAAAAACATAAATATTGGATGTAACCACTTCCATCTTAGGTAAAGAAGAAAACTTAATGTTAGACCCCAAGGCAGCCTCAGCGAAGGTGACTGAGACATTAACTTAACATTTTTTTTTTTTTTCAAATAAATCTTTATTCAGATAAAATCATGGATAACATCGTAATACATAAATATTCATAACAAAGCACTTAATCACATGTCTAAATGAGGTCAAATCAAATTATATCTCTATTTACTTGATAGCAAATTTTAAATTAGTAATTGTCTTCTTCCACTTAATAATATTCAAATTCGTTGTCTTAGTTTTGTTTTCCTCTACTTCTATTTTGTATTTCAACATAAACAAAAAATATTTGCTTATTATTCTCGTTACTACATTTTTATTAAATTGATTTCCTACACTCGCTTTATAGATTGCAAATAAAGCATAATGAAGTATTAAATCAATATCTGTAACATTTTCTTTTGCGTCATGAAAACCATATACAACACAAATGGGTGAGAATTTGAAATCTTTACAGAAGGAGTTACATAATAATATTTCAATAACGTTCTAAAATCGGTAAATATTTTCGCATTCAAAAAATACATGTATAATAGTACCAGGTTTATAACAGTAATAACACAAATTGTTTTCTTTGATTTTCCATTTGAATAAATTAACAGGTGTTGGTAAAATATTATACATAAATTTAAAGTTGAATTGTATCAAATAATAATCACGAGCATATTTTAATTTAAATAACCATAAAGAATCCCACTTAATAGTAAAATTTGTCTGTAAGGTTTTGTTCCAGAAGTCTACCGCCCTAGATGGTTTTTGGATTAATTTTATGAGTTCCGTATATTTTTTTTTCACAGTAATAGAGTGCATTGAAAATTCAAAACTATTCAAGTTCAAATTAGAGTATATAACTGATTTACGTTTGTAATCGTTGAAATCATAAACTTGTTCGCCATATTGTATGATTGGCCTCCATCTTTGTTGTATTGCGGTTCTTATTTTGGCATATTCACTCAACCATCTACCATCATAATAGATAAGTTTATCTTTCAGTTCTTTGACTGTCAAAAATCTATTTCCTATCACTATATCCCCTAAAAATAATATACCCGATTTTATCAAATTTTTATACAACAGTGCTTTTCCTTTAAATTTGATATCACAATTTAACCAAATCATTTCTTTTGTAACACTTCGATAGGTGTGGTGTATATCTTTTACATAATTAACATGCTTTACAGTAAACCAAGTACAAAGTAAGTCACAATAAAAATCAGGTATTTTCCCTCTATAAAAGTCACATATTTTGGTAAACATTTACAGTTCATAATAATATCAATCCCTCCCAGTTTTTCAATCCAATAGTCAAAAAAAATTATCCACTTCTCTTTCTTTTCTTGGAGTTCTGAAAGTTCGTAAAGACATAAATTGCGTACACATGTCAACCATATTCATGCCTCCATTTTGAAGAGTATTTATCATGTTTTCCTTTTTCACTTTTGCTCTATTACCCCATAAAAAATTATAAAATAACTTTTCATACGCTTTTATCCATTCCATAGGGCATGATAAAACTTGAGCTGTATAAATCAATTTTGAAATAACAAGGCTTTTTAAGATAATTACTTTCCCTTTAAATGTCAAGTTCCTCCGTTTCCAAGAATTTAAAAGCTGTTGTATTTTAATGAATCTTTCTTGAGACCAATTCATATTCACACTCAAAGATTTATTCTTACTGAAGTATATACCCAGAGATTTAACATAAGTATCACACCAACTTATATTTTTTATTGTCTCTGAAGGAGAAGTTTTGCCCAACCATATTGCTTTAGTTGTATTCGTACTTAAATGTATTCCTGATACCCTTTCAAAAATTGCAATCACATTTATTACCTTCCTTCCGGATTTAACGTCTTGTACAAAAATTGTCATATCATCAGCCAGTTGAGCTACCTTAATTTCTGTTTTGTGTCTTCCAATAGTAATACCTTTAATATTTACATTCTGTCTTATTTTGTTGCTTAAAACTTCGACACTCAGGATAAAAAGTAGGGCAGACAGGGGACAACCTTGCCTTATGCCTCTAGATGGTTTAATATTGCCAGTAAACCATCCATTTACTGTAACTGATAAGCTTGGATTTGAATATAACAATGCAATCCATTGCCGAAAGATTGCCTAAAACCATATAACTGCAAACACTTGTCAATGTATATCCATTCCAACGAGTCGAAAGCTTTTCTAAAATCTGTGAAAATAATTGCCCCATCTTTAGCCGTTAAATGATGGTAGTCAACCACGTCTTGAACTAGTCTAGCATTATAAATACCGCTTCTACCCTTTAAATAGCCTACTTGATCTTCATTAATATGTCTGCTAACACATTTTGTAATCTTTTGGTCAAAACCATCGCTAATATCTTGTAGTCTATATTTAAAAGGGTTATTGGTCTCCAATTTTCAAGTTCCTGTTTATCTCCACCTTTAAACAATAAAGTAATAACGCCTTTCCTTTGTGAATAACTTAAGTGTCCTTTCTCAAAAGACTCGTTCAAACTATGAAGAACCAGATCGTTTACTTCTGACCAAAATTCTTTATAAGATTCTACGCTTAAACCGTCGAACCCTGGTGCTTTATCAGGTTTCATACTTGTTATCGCTTCAGTAATCTCTTCCATTCTAACGAGCCCTTCGCATGCATCTGCTTCGTGTCTATTTAGACGTGGTATTTCTACTTCTGTCATGTATGAATCTATTAATTCTTCATTACACTCATTTGACCTATAGATTCTTGAGTAAAACTTCTCAATAAACTTTAAGATTTTGTCCTTGTCGTACTCCAACTTTCCCCCAATCCTCAAACAAGAGATTGATCGTTTTGCACCGTTTCTTGTTTCTAAGCCTAAAAAATATTTGGAATTACTTTCCCCTTCTTCAAACAGAGTTACCCTTGCTCTAACTCTAGCATCATCACATAAATATTTGTAATACGCATTTAACTCTATTTTTACACTAGTCAACTCTTCTTCTCGTTTTCTTCCGTTGCATACTTGATCGTGCAATCTTTCAAATTTATTTTCTAACTCAAATAAAACTTTCCTTTCATTTAATTTAATTTTTTTTGCAAACATAATAGTATAAACACGAATCTTTAATTTACACATGTCCCACACAAACTGCGAACTAGTGTCAGACTCTGTCCTATGTTAAAATGTCACGTTCCGGATAACATTTCTAACACCAATTTTATACTCCTCATTCTTTAACAGGGAGTTGTTAAACTTCCAATACGATGGTCCTCTGGAGACGCCAGATATCATAATCTCTATGGTAATAGCACAATGATCTGGACACATAGATATAGGTTTTATACATGTGCGCTGTACAAATTCCTTAAAGGTACTTTGCATTATCCAAAAGACAATTCTCGACGCCATTTTTAAATGAGTATTTCGATATGTAAATTGTTTTATATCTCTATGCATTTTTCTCCAAATATCAATCATACCATATTTTTTCAGTAACTTTATATATTCTTTAGGTTGTTTGTAAACTGTTCTACATCCGATAGTATCAAACGACGCATCGTTAACACAATTAAAGTCACCACCAATAATCAATGCATAGGAATCTAATTTGTCAACATTTCTTATACATCTAGATAGACGTTCATAAAACACATCTTTGTTCTTTTTTTCAGTTGGTGCATAGACATTAATCAACAACATTTTTCTCTCTCCTGCTTCTATTTCAACCACTATAACTCTACCGTCATTTGATAGGTGAATTAATCTGGTATGAAATGACACGTTCTTCTTTATGAGGATTACAACACCCCTGCTATGCTTCGTTCCAAACGAGTGAAAAGTTTTACCTCCCCATTCTTCATCAATTTTTTTTTTTATTTCTTCTGTCAAAAATGTTTCCTGTAATAAAATTACATTTGACTTTTGTCTAACAAGAAATTGAAACAACATATTTCTTTTTTGCTTATTTCTTAGCCCTCTCACATTCAGAGAAAAGAGATTTAAACAATTAACACCTTCGATCATTGATATAATATCTCAAAGTTGTTATAAACTGATTTGTAACCAGGCTTCTCCTTCGTTTCTTCGATTTTCTTCTGATGAGTATAGTTACCTGAACTATTTTTTGTTTGAACCCTTTCTTCTCCTTTTTCTTTCTTGTCGATCTTTACATTTCTTATCTTTGTCGCTCTCCGCATTTTCAACGCATGCCAATGATGGTATTAGGAGATACTACCTTAGATAGTGTGAGATAAATCTCCTCCCCTGTAGGCTGGTTCCGCTCCGCATTTGGGATGTCTGACTGACGCATGAACACGGGCTTCGAACCGGGGTCTCTCCGGGCTTGTATGTCGGCCGTCGTTTTCTCAGCATACGTGTTATTCACCTCCTTCCCTAATCCATCCCTATCTCTTCCATCGCTTCTCACCTGACTTTCAACGTCCGCTGGTTTTCCCATTTGTATATCCATCCTAATGATGAAGAACTGTTTTTCCAAGATAACGTTTCCGATAATGTGAAATTTTAGCTTCCAAACAGAGAGTTAATTTCTGCGATCGTAACCGTATGAAATAGCCCATTAATTATAGAAGACATAATCTTTTCCCTTTTTCATTAACTTAACATGATGTTTGAAACTTGATAACCATTACGTCATTCCTGAATCCAAGTACAGAAAGACAAATTTAAAAATTGTTGTTTAGGTCGAGACAAAACTTTTGTCTCTAAAATCAATTTTCATATTTCTAAGAGAAGGTTATGTTATTACCTTCACAGTTAGGGAGATCATCGGATAGAGCTCCACTTTCTGTACAAGATATCGACGTAGAATCGGAAGTACTGTATCCAGTATCACAGGCAAAGGAACATGTTGTACCATATTCTATTGTAGAACTGGATGTACAGCCATTGTTCAGTGAACTGAGATGTGACGGCAAGGCATCCGGAATGGAACACGTCACAACTATAAAACGAGAATGACAGAGTAAAAGCATTAGTATTGGATGTAACCACATTCATCTTTGGTAACTAAGGAACCTAAATGATGTTTGACACTTGAAACGTGTTTGCCATCACGTCATTGTTGAATCCGAGCACAGGTTTTAAAAAATCTTGTTTTGGTCGAGGCTAAACTTTTATCTCTAATCTTTTTTAACATATTTCTAAGAAATGGTTATGTACTTACCTTCACAATTTGGCAGATCGGCGGACAGAGCTCCACTTTCCGTACAAGACATCGACATAGAATCTGAACTTCTGTATCCAGTATCACAGGCAAAGGAACATATTGTATTATATTCCACGATAGATCCAGACGAACATTCATTGTTCATCGGGATCACATGTGGCGGGAAGGCGTCAGGAATGGAACACGTCACAACTATGAAACAAGAATGACAAATCAAAACCATAAATATTGTGCGAGGACAATAATCTTACTTTAAATATACAATGTCCCTTTTGCAGCCAACTTCCAATTCTGTAGAACTTTGCAGGAATTATGAATATGTCATGTAAGTCCTATCTGTGAAAGTTAAACGTTATCAGTGTCCTAATATTCAAATTATACAAGGAAACGCGTTTACATGTTAGACTTCACTGTCAGACACTAGTGAGTGAGTGACTTGCTTTTTTTCTTCTTTGGTAATAACATACATAAAATGAACTGTTAAGGGTACATGAGCATTTGTCTACGTCAATAACCCACTTCTTGTAATGGCCAAAATTAAACTGATTGAATCTTTGCGTAGCATAAAACGTACGACCATTCGGTACAATGGTCTGAAAATAAGACTATTACTTACTGGCTCTATAGCTCATAAGTCGATTCGACAACTAATAGTCGTTATTTTCCCACTTAAAGAAATTTTCAAGCCCCCTTTTTTTTAAAGAAAGTTCTAAATTAGTATTATCTTTCAAATGCCGTTTGGATTTTACCTTTTCGGTTTTTTTGGCCTGCAAATGGGACATAGTACCTTTAAAGAAGAACTGAATATTGACACGATGTCCGAAACATCATGTTTTTCATCACGTCACTGCCCAATCTGTAGACAAAAGACCTCTGGGGAAAGCATATCTTAAAGCAGAAAAATCTATTTGGTCACAGCGAATATTTTTTTGTGTGAATGTAATTATCAAGACACGTAACGAATATATAAATTACCTGCACAGTTAGGGAGATCGGCGGATAGAGCTCCACTTTCTGTACAAGATATCGACGTAGAATCTGAAATAGTGTATCCAGTATCACAGACAAAGGAACATGTCGTACCGTACACAATGGTAGATCGAGAAGCACAGTCATTGTTCATTGAATTGAGATGAGACGGAAAGGCATCAGGAATGGAACACATCACAACTATAAAACAAAGGTTTAAAAATATTAAAACAAATATTGGATGTAACCACTTTCATCCAAGGAAAAGAAGAATCTTAGTTTTAGACCCAAGGCCACCGCAGCGAATGTGACTGAGACATTAAATTAACATGATGTTTGAAACTTGATTGCCATTACGTCATTCTTGAATCCGAGTGCAGAAAGAAAGATTTAGAATATCTTGTTTTGGTCGAGCCAATACATTTATCTCTAGAACCGACGAACGTATTTCTAAAAAATGGATATGTAGTTACCTGCACAGTTAGGGAGATCAGCGGATAGAGCTCCGCTTTCTGTACAAGATATCGACATAGAATCTGAACTTCTGTATCCAGTATCACAGGCAAAGGAACATATCGAATCATATTCTATTGTAGAACCGGATGTACAGTCATTGTTAATTGGGCTCACATATGGTGGGAAGGAATCAGGAATGGAACACGTCACAACTATGAAACAAGAATGACAAATAAAAAGCATAATCATTGTGCGAGCACAGTCATCGTAATCAAGAGAAAAACTGAATATTGACACGATGTCCGAAACGTCATGTTTTACATCACGTCACTGCTCCATTTGATGAAAGTAGACCTTTAGGGAAAGCATATCATATAGCAGAAGAAAGTGTTTTGGTCAGGGCGAATCCTTGTTTGGGGAATGTGATTATCAACTAGTAACAAATATGTAATTACCTGTGCAATTTGGAAGGTCTGTTGACAACACTCCATTTTCTGTACAAGATATCGACGTAGAATCTGAACTTCTGTATCCAGTATCACAGGCAAAGGAACATATTGTATTATATTCCACGATAGATCCAGACGAACATTCATTGTTCATCGGGATCACATGTGGCGGGAAGTCGTCAGGAATGGAACACGTCACAACTACGGAACAAGCGTGAAAAAATTAAAGCATAATTAATGTGAGAGGACAGTCCTCTTACTTGTAAAAAAAAACCGAATTTGAACATGGTGTCTGGAACTAGATGTTTTACATCACGTCACTGCTTAATCTGAAAACAGTAGACCTTTGGAGAAAGCATATCACAAGGCAGAGGGAAGCTATTTGGTCACGTTGAATCTATAGTTTTGTGAATATCTAAACTGGAAAAGAATATGTAATCACCTGTGCAATTTGGAAAGTCTGTTGACAACGCTCCACTTTCTGTACAAGATATCGACGTAGAATCTGAAATGTTGTATCCAGTTTCACAGGCAAAGGAACATGTCGAATCATATTCTATTGTAGAACCGGGTGTACAGTTATTGTTCTGTGAACTGAGATGCGACGGCAAGGCATCAGGAATGGAACATGTTACAACTATGAAACAAGAATGAAATATTAGAAGCATAATTATTGTGTGAGCACAGTCATTTTACTTAAATTGAGAACTGAATATTAACATGATGTCCGAAACTACATGTTTAACATCACGTCACTGCTGGTGCTGAGGACAGTAGATTTTTGGAGAGAGCATATCATATAGCAGAAGAAATCTATTTGGTCAGGGCGATTCTTTTGATTGATGAATGTGATTATCAAAACTCGTAACAAAGATGTAATTACCTGTGCAATTTGGAAGGCCTGTTGACAACGCTCCACTTTCTGTACAAGATATCGACGTAGAATCTAAGGTGTTGTATCCAGTATCACAGGTAAAGGAACACGTCGAATTATAGTCTATTGTAGATCCAGATGCACAGTCATTGTTCATTGGGCTCACATGTGGCGGGAAGGCGTCAGGAATGGAACACGTCACAACTATGGAACAAGCGTGAACAAATTAAAGCATCAATATTGTGTGAGCACAGTCATCGTAATCAAGAGAAGAACTGAATATTGACATGATGTCCAAAACGTCATGTTTCGCATAACGTAACTGCCCCATACGATAACGGAAGACCCCTGGAGAAAGCGTATCATAAAGCAGAGGAAAGCTTTTTGGTCACGGTGAATCCTTTGTTTTGTGATTAATGAAACTCGTAGCGAAAATGTGATTACCTGTGCAATTTGGAAGGTCTGTCGACAACGCTCCACTTTCTGTACAAGATATCGACGTAGAATCTGAAGTGTTGTATCCAGTATCACAGGTAAAAAAACATGTCGAATTATAGTCTATTGTAGATCCAGATACACAGTCATTGTTAATTGGGCTCACATATGGCGGGAAGGCGTCAGGAATGGAACACGTCACAACTATGGAACAAGCGTGAAAAAAATTAAAGCATAATTATTGTGAGAGGACGGTCCTCTTACTTAAAAAAGAACCGAATTTGAACATGGTGTCTGGAACTAGATGTTTTACATCACGTCACTGCTTAATCTGAAAACAGTAGACCTTCGGAGAAAGCATATCACAAGGCAGAGGGAAGCTATTTGGTCACGTTGAATCTATAGTTTTGTGAATATCTAAACTGGAAAAGAATATGTAATCACCTGTGCAATTTGGAAGGTCTGTTGACAACGCTCCACTTTCTGTACAAGATATCGACGTAGAATCTGAAATGTTGTATCCAGTTTCACAGGCAAAGGAACATGTCGAATTATATTCTATTGTAGAACCGGATGTACAGTTTTTGTTCTGTGAACTGAGATGCGACGGCAAGGCATCAGGAATGGAACATGTTACAACTATGAAACAAGAATGAAATATTAGAAGCATAATTATTGTGTGAGCATAGTCATTTTACTTAAATTGAGAACTGAATATTAACATGATGTCCGAAACTTCATGTTTAACATCACGTCACTGCTGAAGCTGAGGACAGTAGATTTTTGAAGAAAGCATATCATATAGCAGAAAAAAAAACTTCATGGTCACGGCGATTCTTTTGTTTGATGAATGTGATTATCAAAACTCGTAACAAAGATGTAATTACCTGTACAATTTGGAAGACCTGTTGACAACGCTCCACTTTCTGTACAAGATATCGATGTAGAATCTAAGGTGTTGTATCCAGTATCACAGGAAAAGGAACAAGTTGAATTATATTCCATGGTAGATTCAGGTGCACAGTCATTGTTAATCGGGCTCACATGTAGCGGGAAGGCGTCAGGAAAGGAGCACGTCACAACTATGGAACAAGCGTGAACAAATTAAAGCATCAATATTGTGTGAGCACAGTCATCGTAATCAAGAGAAGAACTAAATATTGACATGATGTCCAAAACGTCATGTTTCGCATCACGTCACTGCCCCATACGATAACGGACGACCCCTGGAGAAAGCGTATCATAAAGCAGAGGAAAGCTTTTTGGTCACGGTGAATCCTTTGTTTTGTGATTAATGAAACTCGTAGCGAAAATGTGATTACCTGTGCAATTTGGAAGGTCTGTCGACAACGTTCCACTTTCTGTACAAGATATCGACGTAGAATCTGAAGTGTTGTATCCAGTATCACAGGTAAAGAAAAACATGGTGACTATTGTTGTGAGTCTCCTGATCCTATTAGCTTCTATTGTGATAATGCCTACAATCACCTACACCAGAGAAGACCTTTTGTCTTTTCAACCCAAGTGTGCTGATCTCAGGATACCACTGAATACCTATCACATACTACAGGACTATGGCATATGTTCAGTGCAACCAACTCATCGTGGACATCGTGTACATCATTCTTCATGTCGTGTTTCTGACTTTAGAAACTTAATATCAGTAGTACCTACTAAACTCTCGGCAAAGATGTGTACATTGAACGCTAGATCAGTAAGGAATAAGACTACCGATATCGTTGAATTTGTACTTGATAATGATTTTGACATCCTCGCGTTGACCGAGACATGGTTGAAGGATGACGATTATGTTTATTTGGGAAACTGTATACCTGAGGGATATACCTTTAATCATAAGGATCGACAAGGAAAAGGAGGAGGTGGTGTCGGACTGTTGTTCAAATCTTCACTGTCGGTCAAGTCAGAAGCTGTACAACATTTCATGTCATTTGAAGCTTATCAAGCCCGAGTTTCATGCCAATCCCGTTCACTTATTCTCCTTGTCATTTATCGCCCAGATATAGTGGAAGAGCAAGGCCAGCGAATACCTTATAGTCTGTTCCTTGAAGAGTTTGCTACCCTACTTGACTCATTTGTTCTTGATCCCTCCGAAGTTGTCCTGACAGGGGACTTCAATGTATGGGTCGACGATTTCAATGACGTACGGGCAAGGCAGTTTATGAACATACTTTCATCCTACGGAATGAAGCAGCTTGTACGAGAAGGGACTCATCTACATGGCCATACACTTGATTTGCTTATTACTCGGGATTCAGCCACTCTTGTTTCTGATGTATCTGTTATCCTTGGAGTATCTGATCACCACGCTGTCCAGTGTAACCTTGATTTAAGAAAGCCGTCTACTTCTCGCAGGACTGTCACAACTCGCCCTCTACGATCAATGAACAGAGAACAATTCCGATCTGGAGTCCATGAATCTTTGTCAGAAATTGACATTGAGGATAGCAGCATCTCTTCGTCTGTCGAAAGATATGATCTCTCTCTCTCACTAGTCTTCTTGATAAGCTAGCACCTAAAAAGACTAGAAGTGTTATCATCAAACCTTCGAGTCCATGGATGACTGAGAAGATCCATGCTGCTAAGTGCCTTAGAAGACGCCTTGAGCGCAAGTGGAGGCGTACTAGAAGTGAAGAAGACCGCAAATCATATGTGACACAGCGTCAGGTTGTTTCCCAAGAAATTGAAAAGGCAAAAACTGAATACTATTCAGAGTGTGTTGCAGAATGCGAAGGAAACCAAAGACGTCTCTTCACTGTTGTAGACGCTCTGCTGCACCGAAAGAAGGAAACTGTTCTTCCGGATGCTTCTTCTGACCAAATACTGGCTGATAACTTTTGTCATTATTTCTTCAACAAGGTCACTAAGATCCGTGATGACATTGATGCCGAGCTTTCGTCAGGACAGTGTGTACAGCATTGTGAGTTATCATCTGTTCCAGTTTTGACAGATTTCGCTAAAACTTCTATTAGTGAGATCAAGAGGGTTGTCATGAATTCTCCAACATCATCATGTGAGTTAGATCCAATTCCTACTGCTCTTCTAAAAGAATGCATTGACGACTTTGCACCATATATTACAGACTTTGTTAATAAGTCTCTTCGATGTGCAAGCTTTCCAGCCTCAATGCAACAGGCTCTCGTGAAGCCTCTCTTGAAAAAACCGAATCTTGACAGACAAGACTTTGCAAGTTATCGACCTGTGGTCAATCTAAGCTTCCTATCAAAGGTTATCGAACGTATAGTATCCGCTCGTCTTCAGTCCTTCTTGAATGACAATAACCTTCAAGACAACTTCCA